GCTTGAGTAGAATATTGATGCTATTGTCTTCTGTAGAGCTACTTTAATAGTTGAACTGAGTTCGCTTCATTACTACTGAACTTAGCGACATTCACAGTTATTTAACTAAATTGAGCTCAATAATGATTCAGTTTTCATTTTGGAGCTGCTACTTAAGCCCAAAGTATACTTCACTTTTTACGCATACGCGAGAGACAACATACTAGGGCTGTGTATCGGCAAGAATCTGGCGATACAATATGTATCACAATACAGGGGTTGCGATACGATATGTTGCGATACTGGAAGTAAGACGATATATTAGGATATTTCTTATTTTAGGAATAGGAGAATAGGGTATAATTTTAGGAAAACTCATTTAGAACACACCACCATATGCAAACCTAAGCAAAAAAAAATCAATGGACACACATATATATATATATATATATATATATATATATATATATATACAGTGGGTACGGAAAGTATTCAGACCCCCTTAAATTTTTCACTCTTTTTCATATTGCAGCCATTTGCTAAAATCATTTACGTTAATTTTTTTTCCTCATTAATGTACACACAGCACCCCATATTGACAAAAAAACACAGAATAAAATGATAAATTTTCTCAGTTTAAACATTTGATATGTCATCTGTTGTATTCTGAATAAAATATTGAAATTTGAAACTTCCACATTGCATTCTGTTTTTATTCACAATTTGTACGGTGTCCCAACTTTTTTTGGAATCGGGTTTGTATATATATATATATAATTTTTTTTTACCAGAACACAGTGGAATCTGCATTTGCATTAATCTATCCCTGTAACATTCAATGCTATTGAACCACTTTTTGTGCAGCACGAATAAAGGGGGAGCAATTAAGTGCTTGCAGGAGTCAGATTTGACTGACCATGGGTCAAGAGGAGGGATGGCCTATAAGACCATGGTGGAGGATTTAATACTCAACGGATCTGGAGCTCATTGACAAATATCTTATATTGTAAGATGCGCTCCCTTTTCACAGTGCGCACGTGATTGCGAAATCGAAAGTGAAAGTGAACAGCGCGAGCGCTCATTCAAAAGAGATTTAAATACTCCCTATTGCTAGCGGCTCCCTGATACCCAAAAATTATATGCAATATTAGAATGTTTGCGGGAGCAGGCGGGACTGGACAAACCTTGAAGGAGCGGAACGCACACGTTGTCACTGTTTAAGTTCAGAGGTAAGAAGACTGCAATCTAGTGGTCGGGATAAAAACTCAAAACGAAACAACGGCCATGAATCTTGTATACATTTTTTTAAAATATCGATATTTTGAGAATCGATACAGTATCGCCAAACAAAATATAGCGATACTCACGTTTATCGATATTTTCTTATACCCCTACAGCATACAGTGCTTGTAATATGAATTTCGTCATCAGAACAGTACGCGCGCCACCCGATTTTTGTAACCACGTTTACCTTGTTTACCAGGTCGCACATGTGCAAGTTATTTTGCCGTAATCTGTTGTTCCTTCAGGTGGCAACACAGTCCCACGCTGTTCTTTCACAGTAGAAAATGAATCTAAAGAGACGGAACAACAACAACGCTAGCGTACACATACACGTACAAAAACGAAGTATATTTGGGGCTTTTCAGCTCAAATTATATTTGTTTCCTTACTGGAGAACTTTGCAACATTAATATTGTTATTTTCTTGTGTATTACTGTGAAGTTGCTTTGAAAAAGTCTGCATTGTTTAAAGTGCTATATGAATAAATGTGACTTGACTTAATAATATATAATATATTATATTAATATATTATTATATAATGTGTCAGAATTTTTTTTTATATTGGAATCACCGCGAGATTTCACAATGCTAAGCTGGACCACACAGGAAATAACGTGAGATCGCTTTACACCGAGCAGGACATAAAACGTGAAGTGGATTTCAGTGTACTACGGCCTCTACAGAGATTCATTACTTCACCAATGCTCAAAATGGAACTGTTTAATGCACAATCCCTCACAAATATGTCATCCTTTATACAAGACCATATCATGGGAAAGGGTTTGGACTTTATGTGCATGACAGAAACATGGCATCAGCCAGAGGTCTACTCAACATTAAATGAAGTCTTTATCACTTTTTTCAGGAAAAAAGTAGACATTATTCGCTCCCTTCTGACGTCTCATCGTCTTGACTGCCGATTTACAGCCTGGGACTCCCCAACCTCTTTGCTGTTTCTCTGACATCTCACAGCAAGAGGTTGATGACATAATCAGAAAGATGAAACCATCCACTTGCGCCCTGGACCCTTTTCCTTCAGCCTTGGTGAAATCTAACCTTTGTGCCATAAGTCCCCTGATTACTAAGGTTATCAACCACTCCCTCCAGGCTGGTCATGTTCCACCTGAACTGAAAACTGCTGTCATCAGACCACACCTCAAAAAAACTACTTTAGATCCTGAAGTCCTTGCCAACTACAGGCCCATCTCTAACCTTCAATTTCTTACTAAATTTTTGGAAAAAGTAGTTGCACAATTTCAGACCCATTTAAAACAAAACAATCTGTTTGAGAAATTCCAGTCTGGTTTCCGCTCTGGCCACAGCACCGAAACAGCACTGGTGAGGGTCACAAACGACCTGCTGATGGCAGCAGACGCTGGTTCTCCATCTCTTCTCATCCTTCTGGATTTGACTGCAGCATTCGACACGGTGGATCACAACATACTTCTGTATCATTTACGTCACACCATCAGTCTCTCTGACTCTGTCTATAACTGTTTTTTATCCTACCTTACTGGGAGAATGGAGTATGTTGCATTGGGAGAGGCTAAATCCTTGACACACAATGTCACCTGTGGTGTCCCTCAAGGCTCAGTGCTTGGCCCCACTCTGTTTATACTGTATATGCTCCCTCTCTGTCATGTCATCAGCCGGCATAATTTCATTGCTATGCTGACGACACTCCACTTTACCTTAAGACCAGCTCATCCACTTCTGCTGCCCTGTCATCTTCCACCTTGACTACCTGTCTGGAGGAGGTAAAGGCGTGGATGAGCCAAAATTTTCTGCAGTTGAACAGCTCAAAGACTGAAGCCATTCTAGTAGGCACCCCACACCAGGTCCAGACATCTGTCATTTCCAGCATTACCTTTTCTGGCCAAAACATTCCACTCTCAACACCAGTTATCAATTTGGGTGTTAGAATGGACTCTCATCTCACCTTTGAGGCTCGTGTTAAACATCTGTGCAAGACTTCCTTTTTCCATTTTAGGAATATCGCTAGACTTCGTCCTATGCTCACTCTTGCAGATGTGGAAAAGTTTGTCCATGCCTTTGTCTCCTCCAGACTGGACTACTGTAATGTGCTCCTCCTCGGGATCCCTGGCAAAAGCCTACAAAAATTACTGTACATTCAGAACAGTGCTGCTATACGATCACATCACCCCCATTCTCAAATCACTACACTGGCTTCCTGTTTCATTCAGGATTGTTTATAAGGTCTCCCTCCTTAGCCATCAGTGCATCCATGGCGACGCTCCATCATATCTCAAGGAACTCCTTACTCCACAAATTTCTAAACTTACACTCCATTCTGCATCAACATGTCTATTAAAATCCCCCAGGACTAAGCTTTGCACTATGGGAGATCGGATTTCTGTTCAGCTGCTCCGAGTTTGTGGAATGCTGTCCCTGACCATCTACGGACTCCACAGACTGTCGATGCTTTTAAACGTGGCCTCAAAACCTACCTTTTTAGCAAAGCCTTTGAATGATTCTTAATTTTGTTTTTGTTTTTAATCCGTATCACTTCAGGATTCTGTGTGAATATAAGGTGCATTATAAATAAAATGTATTATTATTATTATTTATAGTATGTTAACAATTTTAAGACAAATTTACAACAAAAATATAAAAAAAGGGGTATTAATAGGGGATAATAAAATTGTTGCTATTTTTATTAAAAATAAATTTTTAAGATTTATTTTTGCCATTTGCTTTTATTTATTGTTATATGACAGTTAGGGCTGGGCAATTTGGCAAAAAATTGTAATCTAGATTATTTTATTTACGATTTTTTAACTAGTCAACTTGAAAACTATTTTTCTAAACTGAAAACTATTTTTTAACTTTTTTGTCATTAACTCTCTAGTTAAAGAACATTCTATTCCAAGTGCATCACACATGAAGTTGTCAACATGATGAAAAATGTTAAACAAATCACATGTTAAATATCTTTGGTTGGATCGTTCTTTTCTCTTTACTGTTATCACTGACATATTGTCAAAGTTTAATTCTAACGTTTGGCAATATTTCTATTCAAAATCGCGATTCCTCGATTTCTAAAAAATAAAATTGTGGCAAAACATTAAATTCAAATTAATAGATAAAACCGGAAAAATCACCCAGCCCTAAGGACAGTATAGAGATGACAGAAAGTGAAGTGGGAGAGAGAGGGGGGACGGGATCGTAAAAGGTCCTTAAACCGGGATTCGAACTCGGGACGCCCCTAGTGCAACAGCGCTATATGTCTGCACACTGCCGACATTTTTATCAACATTTTTATATAAAGTGTCAAAATTATTAAGATTATTATAATAAAACAATTTATTAGTAATAATTCATCTGTCGATTTTCATTAGCATAAATAATACATTAATCAATTAATATATAATTCTTATATACTTTTTACAAAACATTTACAACAAATGGCATAAGTGCAAAACCGGTCCGACTGAGCATTATTGTCAAGCCCTGTTTGAGCTGTATCTGAATTCCCCCTCCATTAAAGCTTGCAGGCCTCTGAGAGTCACAAGACTGTAATGAGGCTTATCCAAGAGGTTGCTGACACTTTCTTTCTTTTGAGCTAATCTCTGATGCCTTTTATCAGTGCTCATGATATGGGTTGTAAAATAGAGGTTTATGTCATAGCATGTGTTGCTTCTGATGTCATGACTATACGGTTATTTATTCTTACTTAATAATGAATGTGATTGTGTGTGTGTGTGTGTGTGTTACAGATCATAGAGTCTCTGGGTATAATGATCTATAAGGCTTTGGATTACGGCTTGAAGGAGCATGAGGAGAGAGAGCTCAGCCCTCCTCTGGAGCAGCTCATCGACCTCATGACCAACATGGCAGACACAGAAACAGACTGTCCTGATGAGGGATATGAGGCAACAGAGGAAGAGGATGAGGGAGATGAAGAACTCACAGAAGTCTCCAACATCCGTGGCTACCGTGACATCATTTCCGTAAGTATTGATAGAGCATTATACATCGGCTAGGCCAATTATTGGCTATTTTGTCATTATTGGCATTGGCCGACAACTGTGATCGCCTGTCCGATCAACAGAAGTACTGTTTGCCAATTTAAACAGTTATCAAATCTACCAATAGCCCTGTCAGTTGTGTTTTTTGAGTGAATATTTAGTAAATTCAGTTTTTATTTAATTGATCCTTTTTTACCATCCTCATGTTATATTCCATAAATGTATTTATTAATTTGTTGAATAATAAAATGTATGGGGTTTAGTTTACGAATGCTGTTAACTATATAAACCGTAAAATATTTAATTTAATTTAATAATACTGCATTTTTATCAATATATATTTATGCATTAATGAACTTATCTAATTAAATAAATTATATATTTATTTATATAAAATAGAAAATGTATAGGATACAATTTACAAATACTGTTTTTATTAATATTTTATGTAAACTGTCAAAATTTAAATATATATTTTTAAAATACATTTTTATTAATTATGTTTTTATTTTTTTATTGATTGATTTTAATTAATTAATATTACTTTATTAATGAATTTACAAATTTTTATATAAATGAATTTGGATTTTTTTTTAATCAAAATGATATATTTATTCAATTATTTATTTATTTGTTTATTAAATGCGTAATACAATCTATGGGATACAATGCACAATTCTATTTTTATTTATCAAAATGTTACCAGTAATTGAAACACTTATTAAATGTTAAAATAGATTTTTAATTCAAATTGAATTTAATTAGTTTGTTGTTAATTATTCGTTCACACATTAAGTAAAATATTAATGAATTAATTTAGAATTTTAATATATGAATATATTTTAATCTAAATATTGAACCGGTGTGGATCGTAGGAAGCAAGATCTTCCTCACAGTTCCTGAGTTGGGTTTATCTGCTCTCTGTGAAGATCGGTGTGAGTGTTATTTACTGAGAGTTACTCTCTCAGCTGGTATTCATTATGCTGCTTAGTGCTCCCTTAGGCCCACTCCAGTAACTCATTACCCTGAGACTCCATAAAGGCCTTCAGACACTTAGCAGCACCGGTTATTTTAAATTACAGTCATATTTATCAATAAACTAATGGAGAAGCTCTTTACAAACTGTGGAAAGAAAGAATATGACCAGACTGAGACCACACAGATACTAACATTAGCATGAATTTAAATCGTAACAAGGAATACCATGAAAACACCCATGGAAGCAACATATGGTCAGTTTGGTTCACAATATGTTCTGCACTATTCTGCAGGGCCATTTCAGGACTTGTTAGATAATGTCTGTCCTTTCATGCCTTCCTTTCAGTCTCCAAATTTAGTGACAAGGTTGAGTGCACAAATGAACCGTGACATTAGATTTCTCCAAGCTGAACCTGGTGAAACCTTTTAAATTCTCTATTTAGACTGAGAAAGATTGACAAAAATAAAGAGGAACGAGAACAGAAGATAGTGGACTACCTTTGAGGCATATGCCTCTTTCATTATCTCAGCCCATTCGTTTGGAATGGGAAAATAAAAGGACTTCCTGGAGTGTTTCTTTAACTTCCTTTAGCGCATCCTCCTTAAATGGTTTTTCATTTTTTCCTACTTTTGCTTCTTATCGCTCTCCTGTCAGGTCTAGCAGGTTTTTTTCCCTTGTCGTAGACAATATTCTCGTTAAGCGTGATTCCTCAGCAAAACGCGTCACGGGGACGGTGAATCTACGCTGCGCAAGACATTCCTGAAGAGGGCAGAGCTCAAGGGAAGGTGTGGGGAAAAATGTCATTAAGCCGGTTGGAGGTGTATTTGGTCAGCGTAATTGTGCATTTTAAAATACGTGTTATGCTCAAACTATTATACCTGAGACTGTGAATTTAATCAGAGTCATGCTAGCTTTGGGTTTGGCTCTCAGCTATGTGCCAAAACATAATGTGTTACGCCAGGGTTAACTTGTTAGACAGATTCGGAAGATGATTTTCTTAAAGTCTGTGGAAAAGATGCGAGGATTAACTTGTCAGACAGAGTTGGACGAGACCTTAAATGCACTTCTGTCCTCTGAAACAGTCAACTATTTTAGGAAAGATACTTGTTGACAAACAGAACAATTACTAATGATTTGTAGTCGTACTGTAACCAATTTGCTCATGAATGGACCAAAGAAGTGGAATGTTTGAGAGCATTTCTGTGCAGTGTATTTATAGGAACATTCAAATGGAAAATAATAAAAATTAAACATTCATTTTCCTCTGTGATTCTTTGTTTGCTCTCAATCTAAGGGACAATAATATATGATCATATGATGGTTGCCCAAACAAGAAAGTAGCCTCATGCAGAGTTTCCTAAACTGGGGTTTGTGAATTGATGAAAAGGTAACAGTTACTTAAATCAAAGGTAACATTTAAATAAATATGTTTCTTTTCAATAAAACCAATCAAAATAAAACACTTGAAATATTTATAATAATAAAAAAAAAAAATCTAAATATTAACTTAAAATCTCAGAGGGTGCTTAAAGGGATAGATAGAATTTTGTCAACAATTTTTTTGTTTATTATTTTAGGTCAAAAAACAAAATCCCACACACTACCAATACTTGCAAAATGATCAGAGACAGTAATTTATTGACAATGTTTCGGTCTCATGACCTTCAACAGGCATATTCAAACATATAAATGCGAGCTCAATCACATTAAAATCATCACTGCGAAGGACCATACTAATAACACCCAATGAATACATCATTAACTCCACTTCCTCATATAAAAAATTCACATCAAAAATATATATATGCACACACGTTATAACATAACATTTAATTGTGATTCATCATTCATGCCCATGGGTGATTGCTGCGCAGAGATTGGTCATGATGTCATTTTAATGTGATTTAGCTCGCATTTGTATGTTTGAATATGCCTGAAACATTGTCAATAAATGAGTGTTTTTGATACTTTTGATGATTTTCTTTTGTTTTTTGACTTTTTTGGGTCTTTTTCTCCTACGCACCCATCTATTACCTGCAGGTGTGCGATCACTGATTGTTAGTTGATATTTTAGACACTGACACTGACAAAAATGTAGGCTTTAATGCTGTGATGTACGTCTCACCGTTTTCTCCTCTGCAGCTGTGCACGTCTCATCTTCCCGGCCCATCAGATGCTCGCAACCACTACCAGGCCGTATGTCGAGCCCTGTACGCAGAGACCAAGGAGCTACGCACCTTCCTAGAGAAGATCAAGAGTGCCAAAGAGGTAATGACCCTCATATGTCACTCTTGTCTATTCACGTGTGGATCCAAAATTATCTTACAAGTACCATTACTGAGTTTTAGTTTTTGTTCCATCCATGAAACGACATAATAAAAAAAAAATCAGAAACACACACGCTTTATCATATTTATGTATGTATGTATGTATGTATTCGAATTTTCTCATTTCTCAGCTTTACTGAAACCACAGAACGCATTATAAGCTTACCAAATTATGTACAAACTGCTTTTTTCATTTCTTTGTTCTTCCATTTAGTTTAATTTGCTGAAGAGCTGTATTTTCAGTTCTGTGTCATTTATGCCAAAAAAGCAAGTGAAATAACAAAAACAACAACAAACATTTATAGTAAGCATCTTACAAAGATATTGACAGGGTGAAAATCAAAACAGCTGTATACATGTACAGTACTGAAAGCGTGATGCTGTTTTATCAGCTTGAATGGAGTTAGTGGGCTGACAGCACAAGTGACTCATAAATAGGCTGTGGACTGTGGAGGTGGATTGAAACCAGTGCTTTATTACCCAACACACTGTCATATGCTTGTTTCATCAGGTTTTAAGAATGTAAATATTGTGCTAATATGTTTTTTTTGCTATAGGACTTTAAGTATTCTTAGATATTCACACCTACATTTTGCATTCATAACAAGGACACCATTAAGCAATATATATTTTCTGAGGAATGGGTATATAATATTTGTACACTGAGAAAAAAGGTACAAAAGCTGTGTCAGTAGTGATGTCTTTACCATTTTTTTAATTTTTTTATATTTATCTTTAAGATATTAATATGCACCCTTTAGGGGTAAATAAGGTGCAAATGTGTACTTTTTAAAAAGGTACCGCCCCACTGACAGCTTTTTGTACCTTTTTTTTCTGAGAGTCTATTTTCTTTAGTTTCTGTATATTATTTCCACCTGTCTCATTAAATGTTCGAAGTAACAACTTCATCAATTGAGTCATTTTTAAAAATAAATAAAGACTTGAATGTGCCAGGCTCTTATAGTTTAAGATTGGTAAGTTGAGCCACTTTCTGTATTATTGAGATGACTGTCAAAAAGTGTTTCAGCGATTTATAAACAAACATTATTATGAAGTGTTATTGCTTCTTATGACATAGTAATATGTGCACCATCTGCAGAATTGAGATGCTATCACTCTTTAACTCTTAAAAACAATATTTGCATATAACATAGCCCTCATACCTTCTATTGAATGCATGTCTTGAACACCACACAGAGACTGAATGTTCCCATCAAGTCATGCAGAAACTTTTTTTTTAAAGAGATTCGTTCTGACATTTCAGTTGTCAATTATGAACAGCTTTACCTGCCAATACTTGAAGACATTTCATTATTAAACTGCATCAACTGCTTAGTGTGCCATAGACATTTTTTTTTATTAAATATTATTTTTTTTATACAAAGCAACATAAGTCCAAAACACCTGTAATTACATTGTGCATTTGAAATGAATAATATATTATGTATTATATAGAGATATTACAGTGTTGTTTTATTACTGCTTTGAAAAAACACTGTCCCTGTTCAGAATTCAACAAAAAATTGTGAATGCTCTTATTTGCTTGAGTTGTGTAACACTAAACTTGACAAGTTTCGTAAGAAGCTGTTTTTAAGGGGATTGCTCTGTGATCGCCTAGTCAGACAGTGTTTAGCCTTCTTTAGTATAGAGTGAGCTGTTTAAACTGTAACATGTAATCAAGTGGCATGTGAACATCATGTAATATGAGCCTTATCCCATTGAATGTGTTCTTTCTCTCAGAGGCATTAGTTTGCATTAACCTGCTTTCTATAGTGTAGCTCCTAATCCAGCAGCACCAAGTGGCACTGGGTGGAGGTCACATGTCGTTGGCTGAAACAGGAGCAGCTGTCATGGGTCTTGGAACAGGTCTGCTCAGTCCTGAACCAGAATTTAGTCCTGTTACACCTGCACATTCTAAATAAATACTAATTTTCACATCTTAATAATAACATTATTGAAGTACATATTACTTGCGAGTAATAGAAGTATGAGAATTAGGATGCAGCCTAGATCAACTGCTCAGTTGAATATTACTGACAGGTTTGTTAGGTCAAGGTTGGAACTAAACACTGCAGCATAGCAATCTTCCGGAATGTGGATTAAGTAATCACCCCTGCTTTAGAGGAAAGGAGTGCAGAGAGCGAGTGAAAAGAGGCAGGAAAAATCAGTTGTGCGGTTCTTTTGATCTTCGCCAGATTGACAGAATAGTCTTGCTCCGATGAGTCAGAGAGTCTACAGTCCCCCCCCGTGTCTGTGTTTCTTTTTCTTTCTCATGCATGAATAAAATGTTCCTTTTTGGCTTGTGTTTTGTGATGCAGCACAGTTGTGTTTGCTTTAAGAGATCAGACTCTTTCTGCTCAGATATTATTAGCTCTGTGTGTGTGTTTCTGTTCATTCATGCTAAGTCTGCATCAGGGCAAGGTAAACCCTAGAGGGGACACACGTCTCTGCTTCACTTTGAGTTCTTCTGAGGGAGACTGCAAACTCACTCAGAGGTTTAATAATCTCCAGGCAGCAGCAAAAGAATGATTTATTGTTCTGACCATAAGCCTGACTTGCATAATTCGAAGGATATACTGAAAAAAAAAAATCCTAGTTTAATTATACACTATATATATATATTATATTATATATATTTCATTTGTCCTGTGATGGTAAATCTCATTTATTTTGCCATGAATGTCAAACCACTCAAAACAAACAAGATGAGAATATATTCTCGGCTGACGTTTACTGAACACGTTTTGTAATTTGTCAATTAACCAGTGCAGGTGGAACAACCATTGTGTCTATCATATATGCCGTTGTCCCAACTTCAACCCTGCGTGGAAATGACCTTTTGCTAGTGGATCAGTGGGTGTGGCTGTAGTGCAGACTAGCTGCGTATTGATCAAGCCTTAATGAGAGTGAATCGGTTTACACACAAGCCAGACCCACGATGGATAAAGCGACATTGACTTTTTCTTATTTGACCCCAGACTGAGGACAGTCTATGTTATTTTACATATCCAACACCAAAGAAATGCCATCTTTATAAATAGATTGATGGATGGATGGATGCATGCAGGATCTAAATGGCCTCTGGTCCAAGACTTAATACTAATCTTTTTCTATCTTTTTCTTTTTCAGAATTTGCGGAAGATGGAAGGAGAAACAGAGGAGCCTGTCAGAGACCTGAATGAGCTGCAGAATGCTGACTGGGTGAGAGCAGTTTCCCTGAGCATAACGGTGCTGAATGCATTCAGACTGTGCTCTATTGGTTCAGGACAGTCATAAGCCATGGCTAACTGTGTGTTGTGTATATTTTCCACAGGCACGGTTTTGGGTGCAGGTGATGAGGGACCTGAGACATGGTGTGAAGCTGAAGAAGGTCCAGGAGCGTCAGTATAACCTTCTACCCATCGAGTTCCAGCTCACGCCTTATGAGATGCTCATGGACGACATCCGCTCCAAACGCTACAAACTTCGCAAAGTCATGGTGAGCGTGCACAAGTATAAATGAATCCTGGGTTATGTCAGCATCTATGATCAAAATCTGTTTTTGAATTTCTCCATGAACACACAAGCATGAGTCATTTTTCCCTTTGTACCAACAGTGCAGTCGCACATTGCAATTCATTTTTATTGCTGTTTGTTGCAGAGATCATAAACACAACAGTGTTTACTTATCAAGCAGGCTTATTTCTGAAGCTGCAGGGTAGAAAAAGGTTTTAAAGGGTTGAACTGGATCAAGTGAATGACACTGAAATCAGTAAATCAAGATGGCTTGAGGTTACGGTTTAGAAATAGACATATAAGGCTGCAAAACTTTCAGAGAGATGCCACGTCAGAGTCAACACCTTACATGATAGGCCATTTTCAATTGAGTGAGGTAATAGGTCAATTTTTGTTCACCTACCACACCTTTGCCTCCAGTTATTAATGCATAGACATAGACAATAGCTGTCATTGATATTATTTTGATGCATTCTTTAGACAGGACACACATTTAAAATGCGTCCTTTGCATTCTTTCAAATGACACAGACTTTAAGTTTTAGTTCACTGGCAACATATCTAAGATTTGACCCCTGCTGTGCCTTCTTTCTGCTGTAGGTCAATGGTAACATTCCTCCGAGGTTAAAGAAGAGTGCTCACGAGATCATACTGGAATTCATTCGCTCCAGACCTCCACTGAATCCTGTGAGCATGAGAGCATACACAAACACGCTTACCTTTGGTCATATGTGAGCTGGAGTATCTTTAAACTGATGTAGATCAATTAATACAAATGTCACCTATTAACACAAACCTGCTAATCATTGTGCATGTGTATGTTTGAATGTGCTTTAAGGTTTCTGCTCGTAAGCTAAAGCCTCATCCAACAAGACCTCCCAGTCTTCATGAACGTATCCTGGAAGGGATCCGGTCGGAGAGAAAGCTCAGGCCCGTCTCACCTGATATGATCCGTAGGAGTCGACTCGGTTAGTGCACTTTATCACACTTGCTCTCATAAACACACAGACGCTTATTCATTCATGCACATCATTTACCTAAAAACCTAAGCTGGGCAAATATCTATATATATATATATCTATATATATATATATATATATATATATATATATATATATATATATATATATATATACATATAT